AAACTTTGATAGTGGAAATTATGCTCGGGAAATATGCAAAACATCTATCGTGGCTTCGAGAAGAAGCTTCACTCCCTGTTTCTTTTCTTTTCTTTTCTTTCCTTTTTTTTTTTTTTTTCATTCAAATTACTTTCGACATATTACCAGCAACACTTCGCTTCCAACTTGGAAATTGTAAAATATTTCGAATGGCGTTCGGGATATCATTAGAAATGGCGCGACCCACTCGACCTCGATATTTACGCTCCACTTTAAAATACCACTCGAAACGGGGCTTTGAGCAGTCGCTCGGCAGCAGAAGCCGGGCGCTTAGTTTGTTGACGAGTCGGAATGCACGATCGTAAAGCAAACGTTGCGTAATGACTCGGAGAGGGAGATCGGGGCGTTCACGAAATCGAATCACATCGAGGAAATTACGCTTTTCAGCGCGCAAGACCGAGACAGCTCGTCATGGAACTTTGAAAGTAGATTTAAACAAGCGATCGATCGTTCTTTCGATCGTAGATTTAATAACAAGTGAAGATCGTGTCTATTTACTCTCGTTTCAGTGTGCTTTTGGCAAGTTAGCTCCGCAGCTGAAGGGTTAATTCGTTCGACGAATACTCGCAGTCAGCAGAAAGCGAAAACTTTTACCGCCTCTTTTATGGACTGGCGGAGACTGGCTCTACAAACACGAGAGGAACAGTTTCGGAGCAGATAGATGTAAATAAAATTCGGCTGTTAAAAGGTTCATTTACGCAAAGTGAATATCTCCAAATAAAGGGAACAAAGTGGCGAGGCGAGTGGGTTCGAGTAAGTTGTAACTATAACGAGCAACAGTTAACGACAAGGTATCAGACGACCACAATTTGGCAAAGTATAATCAAACGCGTGGAAGACTATACTTAAGCACACTAAAATCTTCTAAGAAGTCATTATACCTCGGAACATATTCAAGCCGTTCGCCTTTTATTTCATTTTACCCTTGTTATCATGTATTACATTTTATCACATTCGACTTCCTTTTGTTTTATTCTTTCAACGTCCCCGACCGTGGACTCAATTACGGGACACAATTACGCAACGAGGACGTTTTGACAAGAGGGAAACGTCAGAAAATTACAGACGATTGGCCGGCGCTGGACAATTATCTGCAAGTCTCTCCCCCCTCCCCCTCCCCCCCCACTTCCCTCGGCTTGGGAGGGAGCGAGACGAGCCAAAAATGGAGTTAGGAAATTACGAGCCGGTGTACACAACAGAGCTAATTGAAAATAATTGGCCGAGCCGGTTGTACGCGGCTCGAAGACACGAAGCGGGCATAAATCTCTGATAATTCGTCGTATAAAGAGGAGAGGATGCGAGTAACGACGAGGCTGTCTGTCTCACGGCGTGTACGTGGAAGGGAGAGGATAAAGTGGTCGCGGATTAAAAGGCCACGGCCACGGAGGAAACGGAGGGAAATCGATTTATTGGCAAGATTAATGGATGTTCTCTTTTCGTTCCGTGTCTTTGCACCATTTTGCGACGACAGCCGCGAACGATAACAAACGAAAGAAGAATTCCTCTCTGTGAAAACGCGTGAAAGTGCGAGAAAGCAATTGCTACGATATCGATACACCAGATATTTACACGGTGCTCTCAGGAGGCATTTACGAGATATTTTAATACAGAGGTGACTAACTGGCGGACTTTTGCCCCGCCTCTCCCCCCTCCCCCCACTTTCCTGATCGCTAGCGCTACCCCCTCCACTGCGTCGTTCTCCCCACTACATTGAAATTTTCTCGTCGTGCGCGAGTCTCCAGTTAGCCAGTCATCCGTTTTTTTAATACAATATACTGTACTTTTTGTAATATATAACTTTGTAATATATGATATACAAGTATAATTTTTGTGACACAATATATGTTTTAATTAAAATCTTTAATTGAACAGTTTATAATATTCGTAATATTGTTCTGAGCTACGATGCTCGAAATTTTTTAGTGAACAACTTTTTATTATTCATTTATTATTATCGTTGTATTTATTTATTTATATAACAGTTTGTAATATTCATAATATTGTCCAGTTTTAAGCTACGATGCTCGAAATTTTTTAGTGAACCACTTTTTATTATTTATTTATTATTATCGTTGTATTTATTTATTTATATAACAGTTTGTAATATTCACAATATTGTCCAGTTTTGAGCTACGATGCTCGAAATTTTTTAGCGAACCACTTTTTATTATTTATTTATTATTATCGTTGTATTCATTTATTTATATAACAGTTTGTAATATTCACAATATTGTCCAGTTTTGAGCTACGATGCTCGAAATTTTTTAGCGAACCACTTTTTATTATTTATTTATTATTATCGTTGTATTCATTTATTTATATAACAGTTTGTAATATTCACAATATTGTCCAGTTTTGAGCTACGATGCTCGAAATTTTTTAGCGAACCACTTTTTATTATTTATTTATTATTATCGTTGTATTTATTTATTTATATAACAGTTTGTAATATTCACAATATTGTACAGTTTCGAGCTACGATGCTCGAAATTTTTTAGCGAACCACTTTTTATTATTTATTTATTCTTATCGTTGTATTTATTTATTTATATAACAGTTTGTAATATTCATAACATTGTCCAGTTTTGAGCTACGATGTTCAAAATTTTTTAGTGAACCACTTTTTATTATTTATTTATTTATTGTTATCGTTGTATTTACTTTTTTCATAATAATAAGAATACGAAGAACTCCACTGTTCACTCCACTGTCGACGGAAGAAAAGGAGTTATTTGCGAGAAACGTCTTTTTTTTTGGAATTGTAACGTTTGACCGTTCAACTTTGATAGAGTTGATATTCGAGGGAACCTGATAGTCTGCGTGTCACGCACGAGCGTATGTACTCGTAGTCTGGCTCGTAGTTATGCGTGCACATCCGGTCTGGTAACTTGGTTCTTGGAGCACAGCCCACATCGTCTGTTATTCACATTCGCGCTGATTGAGATGGAACCGTGTGCCTGAAAATCTCATTGCTCCTTTCTTTGCCTTCGAATCGGCGATGGAAGACCGTTTCAATCGTCTTCTCCCATACGGAATCTCGCTATAATTGAAAAACAATTCGGTTTTCTTTCAGTTTTCTTTCAGTATTTTTTCGCAGTCTGCTAACGTCACGAATAACATTAACATTCGGCCAAATCCGTCGTGTCATAAAAGCAAATCGCAAGAGCAAGTTGCGAGATTGCCGGATCATCAACGCGATAATCGGCCCGATAAGAATTTAATTAACGTTGTTGCACACATCCCGACGATGCGATACGAGACTGGCAGCCAGCAAACGCTTAGAAAAGATATCAGAGAGATTCTGCGCGGTCTGGCATGCGTGTCCCGCGGCCTGTTTTCTTCTCGCTTTTCCACCCGAGAGCATTCTTCTCTGCCTCTCTCTCTCTCTCTCTCTTTCTCTCTCTTTCTCGCCAGAGGGTTTCACCGTCGTAAAGGTACCCCGTGCGCTGGCCATTACCATATTATCTCGGGTTCACACCTCGCCTATGGACATGCCGGTAGCCGAGCCGATACCGATCGGTCTGCAAAAAGCATTTATAATCGCCGGCAATTAAATCGTTTACGGCGCTGGGCCGCGTTACTTTATGTACTCGTTCCCCGCGTCCATTACGTCGCACCGGTCGTTTATTCAGGGGAGATTCGGTCGATGGAGAACGCCACTAGAACGAAACAACACGATTTCCTCGAGTTTAACCTCTTAGCTGTTTTCGGACTCGATGCACTAATCTACTCACTTTTCTAGATTATATTAGCCATGGACAGTTTTGCGCTTTTTTTTTCACCTTGTGACTGATGACTAGATGACTCGATTTATTTGATCAAGGAATTTTAAGATATTGTTAACCATTCTTCTGTTGTCAAAATCGGTCGCGAGTTTTGATCGCTGTTTTTTGAGAAACGATTTAGATTGATCTTTCGGTCAATGTTCGGGGGCAATTAATTTTTAGTAATCGAATATCAATATAATAGAATCAGCTGGCCAACTATTATTATATTGTGTATATTATAATATGTGCAATATATATAATATATTATTATATTACATTATATTATATATCATATTATAATTATAACATATATTATAACTAGATTATTATTTTCAAAGTATACTCTAAATAAATCTTTGAATAACACCCCGCGTAATATATATATATTATATAAATTATTATATAAAAATTATTATATTACATTATATATATAATGTATATTATGTATATATATATAATATAAATTATTATATTACATTATATTATATATTATTACTATATTACATTATATTATATATTATTATATATTATTATTATATTACATTATACTATATATCATATTATAATTATAATATATATTATACATTATATTATAACTAGATTATTATTTTCAAAGTATACTCTAAATAAATCTTTGAATAACACCCCGCGTAATATATATATTATATAAATTATTATATAAAAATTATTATATTACATTATATATATAATGTATATTATGTATATATATAATATAAATTATTATATTACATTATATTATATATTATTACTATATTACATTATATTATATATTATTATATATTATTATTATATTACATTATACTATATATCATATTATAATTATAATATATATTATACATTATATTATAACTAGATTATTATTTTCAAAGTATACTCTAAATAAATCTTTGAATAACACTCCGCATAATATGTATATATGTATTGTATATTATATTATAACCAGATTATTATTTTCGATGCATACTCTAAGTAAATATCTGTGAGACACTCTGCTAGCTGTAAATAAGAGACAGAGGGAATCCAGACAAGGTTGTGCACGGTTGCATCGCCAATAAATTATTATCAAGCACACAGTGTTTTTCGAACACCCATCATTTCGATACTCGAACGTGCACGAACGTGCTCGTACGATCACGAGTCCTGAACAGTGGCCTTCGCGTACATTACCTTTTCGAACGGTATACCACTATAGTGGCTTGCTTGTTTCTCAATCGAAGACAGCCATACGTTACGCCTCGAAAATAATAATCTGATTCTTCAAATTCTTTATCGTTCATGGGGAAGAAACTTGAATTTATTCATTCTTTCAATTTCAAAAATTTGATTTACTCAACTGCATTTATCCTGGATGTCGTTAGACTTATCTGTACGGTTCGCATCGGGGAAACTTGTCTTACACGAAGTATAGTTTCGCGAAAAATCTTGAGGTTAAAATCAATTAACTTTACGTTATCGACATTGAATAAAATTTATTCGTATTCTACGTGGTTTCATCGATCTCGTTGTTCGATGGGATCTTAATTTAGATGTATCACGTCGACAAATCTGTGGTACGAATGTATACACTGTGGCTCGCGAGATGCCTTTGTCACGCTTTGTTCAAATTAGAGTTCGCACGTGACTTAAAACTCGTACGATAAAGACTCGTATCCTACGCGAAACGTTAGCATACATGATACAATATAATTTGAGAGATGCATAAAATAGACTCGTTCGTTGCGTAACCGTAGCGTTCGATTTAGAAGCGTTTGTTATGCAAATTAATTTTAATAGTTTAACGTGTCTGAAGGGGAGAACGGTATTTTTCAATCGGGAGATAATTACCGTGTAATCAGAATACAATGTATGCAAAACACATTCACGTTGTTGGAATGGCCTATAAATCTTGTCGTGCATGCAAAGAGAAACAGAAATAAAGAGCGGCGAAGAAAAATATTGCGCAACTTGCTTACATATATACATATAAACTCTACTAATTTTATCTTATTTCACGTGAATGCGTTCCATGTGTTTAACGTCTTTTCCTTGTCATTTCGCATCAAGCGAATTGTCACGTGTCACGCGACGTGATCAACATAGAAATAAACTATTTCTTGATTGAAGATCTATTTATGAACGATCGACGCGTTCTCTGGTTCCAACATAAAACGGATCGATTATTTCCAATTCTTGCTCGCAAAAATATTTTCGTCTTTCCGAAATGCACGCGGTGCAATTTCCCACGCGCGTTTCAAACGCGCCTCCGCGACTGCAAATAAAATATTCTCTAAATTCTCGCGCAAACGTGCTATTTGCGCGCCGCGTGTCGCGCTATTTGCACAAGCGTGAAACCACGAGCGAAACCCACCTCCCGTCGGAAAATTCGTCCAATTTTCGTCGTTGCGACACGCGAAAATTCCCGGATCGACCGCCATCTTTTTATATCGCGCGGCTGGTTCAGTTGCAAATTACCGAAACAATAATGGAGCCGCGCACGAAACGCAAATAAGCACGCGCGTCTGCGTCTGTCACTGTTAAAACGCTCAACCACGCGTTCCAGGGTGTCACGTTATAATTGAAGGGCTGGAAGCGTCATCGACCCTTCGATAGTAATTTCGCGCCGTCAGCCACGATGATCTGTCATTTCAAAAGTATCAATGAACATCTTTTTAGGTTAAGTTGGTTTTTTAGAGTCTTTTTAAGTTAGGTTTGTCTTTAGAGTCGTTTTAGGTTAGGTTTGTCTGTAGATTAGATTTAAGTCTTCTTAGGTTAAGTTTGTCTTTACGTTAGATTTATGTTTAGGTTAAGTTTGTCGTTAGGTTAGGTCTAGGCTTTTTTAGGGTAAGTTTGTTTTTAGGATTTCTCGACGTTTTTTTTTTAGGATAGGTTTATGGTAGGCTTTTTAGGTTAAGTTGGTTTTTAGGGTCTTGTAACGTCTTTTTAAGTTAGAATTGCGTCTTTTTCTAAACCTAACCCAAACCTAACTCAAATCTTTGTAGGTTAAGTTGGTTTTTAGGGTCTTTTAACGTCTTTTTAGGTTAGATTTAAGTCTTTTTAGGTTAGATTTAAGTCTTTTTCTAAACCTAACCCAAACCTAACTCAAATCTTTTTAGGTTAAGTTGGTTTTTAGGGTCTTTTAACGTCTTTTTAGGTTAGATTTAAGTCTTTTTCTAAACCTAACCCAAACTTAACCCAAACCTTTTTAGGTTAATTTGATTTTTAGGGTCTTTTAACGTCTTTTTAGGTTAGATTTAATTCTTTTTCTAAATCTAACCCAAACCTAACCCAAATCTTTTTAGGTTAAGTTGGTTTTTAGGTTCTTTTAACATCCTTTTAAGTTAGGTTTACGTCTTTTTAGGTTAGGTTTGTTTTTTACGTTCGCAGAAAAACAATCCAGTGACTTATCGTGAACGTCTCCGAATCTCTTCTTCGAGAATCATTTTTCAAAAGCGAGCACAATGCCGTGCATCGAGGAATGAGCCTTGAACCGTTCAATTATCCAGCCACCTTAAACGGCTCGGCTCGCAGGCGAGCAAGGACGCGACGAAGAATATACGAGCGACGTTACTTGGTACAACGATAATTGAACCGAGATGTGCGCACACCCCATCTCGCGGACGAGAATCGCGGCCCGCCAGAGCCAACGATCATCGATACACGAGGTACGATAAATACACGTACGTAAAGCGAATGCACGCCGTATATTCGGTGACTATAAAAAAGCAGTGAGGTCAGTCAGTGGTTATTCAAAAGGCGTGTATCGTCGTCTTTGCGGTCCTGGACGATCGTTGTCCCTTCCACTGTTCGTGTGTTCTCTTTTCGTTTGCTCGTCTCTGTTCTCTCGGTGATCCCTATGGTAATAGTGACTCACCCACTGTGATGGATAGAATTCTCGAATCGTGTTCGACGAAAATAGCATACCGCGAATTACGTCGCGCGATAGATTTCGTCCAGTTTTATTCCTAATTCCCTCCTATCCCCCAATTTTCTTCTCGTTCGATTTTATTTTTTATTCTGGTTTCATTCGCCGAACAAACAACCTTGGGTTTTAATTCTAATTCGGATAATGTTTAATTATTTCTTGGTGGAAACATAAATAATAGAAATGCAATATTTAATCTTAGATTTATATATAAATGTCAATGAAATATTAATAAATTGTAAAATCTAATGTCTATTAACAGATTCGTATATAAATCTAATATTTTGCACGAACAATTTCTATTTCTATTCTGTTTCATCAAAGTTCAAAGGCGCTGGAAGTTTGATTTTGGGAGTTTCATGTTTCGATTTAACGCGCGATCTGCTATTTTGCGAAATAAATTCTGCTATCTCGCGTTGCGTTTGATTATCTTCGAGCAACGAATCGGTGTAACAAATAATATTTGCCGGAACATTAAACCAGCAAATTCTCAAACATTTTCGCGCGTTTATGAAATCGACTATACGTACATTGTGCATCGCGATATTAATTGATATCAACGCCATTGAGCAACAATGCGATTGAATTTTAATGGATATTTACAATTTCAGTGATGCAAGGTCGTAACTACAGCTAAATTGTATCGTCGTTTCACTCGAGCAGGTTGTTTCGCATTTTCGTGCGATCGATTGTCAGGAACAATTGATTGTAGCACATTAGTATTAAACAACGATTATGGCTCTGGTTTAAATCCATAAATGCATTCTGTACAACTTACGTTGAGTTCAAACTACTGATGGAATTTAATTAAGTTCGATAAATAACAATCGAACAGGATACTATTTAATTTTGTTAGGTTATGTACAAAACATTCGACGATTAGCAATCGAGCAAGATACTACTTAACTTTGTTAGGTTATGTACGAAACAATCGTATGAAAACATTCGACGATTAGCAATCGAGCAAGATACTACTTAATTTTGTTAGGTTACGTACGAAACAATCGTATGAAAACATTCGACGGTTAGCAATCGAGCAAGATACTACTTAATTTTGTTAGGTTACGTACGAAACAATCGTATGAAAACATTCGACGGTTAGCAATCGAGCAAGATACTACTTAATTTTGTTAGGTTACGTACGAAACAATCGTATGAAAACATTCGACGGTTAGCAATCGAGCAAGATACTACTTAATTTTGTTAGGTTACGTACGAAACAATTGTATAAAAACATTGGACGATTAGCAATCGAGCGAGATATTACTGAATTTTATTAGGTTATGTACAAAACAAACGTATGAAATCATTGGACGATTAGCAACCGAGCAAGATACTATTTAATTTTGTTAGGTTATGTACAAAACAAACGTATGAAAACATTGGACAATTAGCAACCGAGCAAGATACTACTTAATTTTGTTAGGTTATGTACAAAACAAACGTGTGAAAACATTGGACGATTAGTAATCGAGCAAGATACTACTTAATTTTGTTAGGTCATATACAAAACAAACGTATGAAAACATTGGACGATTAGCAATCGAAAGATATTACTTAACTTTGCTAGGTTATGTACAAACCAAACGTATGAAAACATTGGACGAGCGGCAAGATGAAACGCGGGAAATTTGAATTGCTATTCAGTTATTTAGGACCAGCCAGTATGTGCCCAGAGTACGGAGCTCGGCATCCAGAGTCAGTGGTAGCCGATTGCCGCTTGACACTGAGCCGTGTTGTAGACGTGTGGCGTCTCATCCATTTTCCTTCTCACGTGTCGTCTCGTCAATTTAACAGCCCCTCCTCGATTCTTGTCACCGCGTCGATAAAGGATCGCGACTAATTTCCTTTACGGTGGCGACATAACGTCCATACGCGTCCTCCGTTCTAATTAACCGAAAAATTATATCCGCAACCGGCTCCAGTTCTCTCTTTTTTTCACTGAGCGGAGGAGGATCCAGTGCGGATAACTGGTAACTCCGCGACTTTTATCAGCCACTCGGCGAGATATTTCCGTCTCTTTTACGTAACGTTGCGGGAAGCTTGAAATAAAATCCGTTATCGATCGGATCGCGTGGTGGTTTCTGCGATCGTTTGTCCATACACAGTAATTGGTTATATAACGATCTGTGAAACGTACGAGCATTTCGCAATTCGTGCCGCGAGAGATGAACGCGTCGTGGGACGCGTTTTGAAATTTATCGTCGAACAGTCGGGACTTTTTTGGCGTTTTCTTCTCCTCCCTCCATGAAACGGAGGAACAAAAAGATCGTTTCTCTCGATTAAACGTGACGAAAAGCGGAGTCCGATGACGAAACTGACGCGCGTATATGTAAATGCTAATTCGCAGTTGGCACTTGAGCCGAAACAATGCGAGCGTTGTGAGCTTCACCTTGGTCGAGATGGAAGGAAGCATTCAAGTGCCCCGCGGTAATGAAGCGAATATTGAGATTGCGTCATTTGTGCAAGCGTAGAAGATTAAAGTGCTCGTGTTTTCCGTTATAAATAGCTGTCGTAAATGGCTCTTTTTCTTTTTCGCGTTCCTTGGCTTCGACGGTCCCGATCCACGGACGAAAACACGTCGACGAATGTTCGCCAGATCTAAAAAAAATTCAATTGACACAATTTTCTACTTTACACTCGGTTTTTATCTTCGGTCTCTCTTTCTCTCTGTTCGATGACTAATAATAAGTCTAGCGCACGTGATCGTACGTAGTATTTAAAATTATTATTCAGCTGAAAATTTTCCAAACGTTGTGACTTATCTTCTATTATTAAAAGCATTTTAAACATTCCCTCGGGTAACATTATCGTTCGGACAGATTAAGACTCCGCTGAGTAAGTCCATCAATTTACCAGGCTATTTTCTATTTTTTCTCTCTCTTTTTTTCTTTTTTTTTTTTTTTTTTTTCTTTATGCCGCTGAATTATTACGCTTCGACGTTGATTCCACTCGTTTGACGAACGATCGCTCACAAATTGGAGAAAACTCCGTGTATATTCGAAGCTTACGCTTTCCATTATCTGTTCTCATAAATATCCTCTTATCTGGCGGCGAGAATCGCTAATACGCTGATTCCACACGATCCTTTTGCGGCGAACGTCCATTAGGGAATTAATAATAAACGTTTCTAAGGCTCTCTCCGCGTTATCGAATGGGAATAAATCATCGTCGTGCGCTCGGCGCGGACAATCGGCGCGGCCTTGAGGAATCTTCCCCAATTACAAATGCCGCGGTTACCGCGACTGTTGCGCAACTCGTGGTTATCGTTGATAAACAACAAAGGAGGCGATCCGATCTTAACAGACCCATTGTTGCTCGAATAATGACTTCTGCGACGAACAGCGTAATTCGAAGACGAGCTACAGCGTTATAGGAAACGTCCGTAAAACTTCAGACTCCGCATTCGATCGTCCACTTTGAATCCCACTGACATTCGAAACTCGTTTCTGTGAATATCGGTACTGTAAAATTTTGTAAACACAAATCGCTTTCGAAGCTCGAACTCTCTCTACTTATTTTAGAATGCTATTTACATTACGTAACAGGCGCTACAAGTTGTCGCAATGGCGTGAAAATATTGGAAAACTTTTTTTCTTCAATGTGATTATTTTTTAACGATTAAATTTTTTTTTTTTTTTTTTAATGATTAAATCTACGATGGATCTGAAGCCTTCCTCTTTGCAGAAACTTGATGTATGATTTTTTTGTTTCTTTCGTCGTATTCTTGAACTATGAATTTTAGGATTACACGACGAAAGTTCAAATTATTCGTTTGATGTTCAAAGTTTTACGAAAAAAAAGAATCACACGCCGGAGTTTTCTGGAGTTGTAAATTAGAGGCGTAGATTCGATTGTAAAAAGAATTTTTCAATTTACAATTTTAATAATATTTTTTCAACAATATTAATATTGTTCAAACGACAAGCAAAAATTGTTGTCGATTTAAATATTTTAAAAAATAATATTTTTGCCTTCACTTCGCCACGTGATACGAAAAACGTTTCGGAATAAAATAAACAGCATATTTTTAAAAAACAGAGGCTCAATGCTCGAAAATCAGCGCGATTTCTTTTCACAAAATTATTACAATAACTTCAATATTTCGTTAATATTAACGAGAGTCGCTGTATGTATCTAATTAACACCGGGTCGTATCGTGCATTTGTTGCTCTCGCTTTTAGATATCACGTTTGAATAGAAAATCATCAACAAATCAACATATATGTACATAGATCGAAATATTTTTATATTTCTTTTCATTCGATATTATAATTCTAACCAGAAGTTAGTTTCGTCTAAATCAAAACGTTCCACTACACGATAATAAAAAAATTCCGAGAACTATTTTCATGAATGTATCATTGTTTGAAACGACGTTTGCTTACGTAAGTTTATGCAATGAACGATCGCGTGATGAAATCGCGCGGTCGGACTTGTGTAGACCGATATAAAGAGAGAGAGAGAGAGAAAGGTCGGTAGCTTTGAAACAGAGTATCTCGACAGGCTAGAATTTAACAATTCCATTATCTAGTTTGAAAATACGCCTCAATACGTCGTTCAGCAAAACGACGAATAATTAAATGGCGACGAGACTGACTCACGTCCGCGATCGTATCGTAGCGACAGAACGATCGAACGTTTTTTTCTCTTTTTATCTGCCAGCGAATTAGAAAACAGGAAAACGAAAAATATCTCTCGTATTTCACTGGTTATTAAGCCTGACAAATAAATCATTGACTCTATCTATTCAAGTTGGAGAAGAAGAAAAAAAAAAAAGGAAACATGGAACACTCGTCAATGTCTTCAACGTCCACGTAAAATTACGCCGTAATAAAAATTACGTGTAAATTTATGGTAGGCGTGGGATATGGAATAATCGTCGCCTAATTTGAAATTTAAATTAAAAACTTCTCTTTGTCGGTGAAAGAAAAACTCGAGTCGAATTTACTTTTTATTTCTTGCTTTTAATTTCAAAGTGAAAAAGAATTACAGAGGGGGGAGGGAAAAAAGAAAGAAGAAGAACACGTGATACGTGTACGCGTTTTTTCCACGGTGGTGAAA